GAAGAGTCTTGGTGGTTCCAAACTTCTTCCATTTTAGAATGATGGAGGCCACTGTGTGCTTGGGGACCTTCAATGCTGCAGAAACAGGATGCACTTGAGCTCAATTTCGAGTCTCATAGCAACAGGTCTGAATACTTATGTTAATATGGTGTTTCTGTTTTTTGTTTTTAATAATTTAGCAAAAATGTCTGAAAACCTGTTTTCACTTCGTGATTATGGGGTATTGTATGTAGATTGATGAGGAAATCGTTTTATTTAATCAATTTTAGAATAAGACTGTAATGTAACAAAATGTGGAAAAAGTCAAGGGGTCTAAATACTTTCCGAAGGCATATATATATATATATATATATATATATATATATATATATATATATAAATATATATGGGGGATTGGAAATGATGCAGACAATTACATTGATGGAAGCTCCAATCTATCTGCAATATTAAAGCTGATCTGCCCCCTAAAAATAAAAACAGCCTGATCAACTCTATGCGAGGGCGATGTGTTGCGCTGCATGAGGCAAATGGTGGTCACGCCCCTACCTTTCTTTTAAGGTATATGTGACCAACAGATGCATACCTGTATTCCCAGTCATGTGAAATCCATAGATTAGGGCCTAATAAATTGATTTCAAATGTCTGATTTTCTTATGTGAACTGTAACTCAGTAAAATCTTTGAAATTGTAGCATTTATATTTTTGTTCAGTATATAATAAAAATGTAATAAATATAATACACGTCTAAAAAAAAAGTTTTTAAAAATCGTACAATTGTGCTGTGCTAGACTTTTTCTGTTCTTTTTTTTTTTACATGACATGATCAGCTGGTTGCAGCTGAACTACAAATTCACTACAGAGGAAGATTACAAAAAAGGACCTCAAAGATCCAACATGGACGTCTTTGGCTTTTTTTTAAGGAGCGTTACAACCAAAAATAGTACTCTTGATGCATGTATATATGTCTAGTCACCTGGCTTAATTGATATCGTATATAAACTATCCCACGTAATGGCTTTGTGTGGTACCACTTTACGATCATGTTTTCTTTCCTTTTTCACCTGTCAGGCATAAACCTGGGCATCTCTCACCGACGGAGGACGAAAACATGGCGGCCTCCTTGCGTTTGGGTCGTCAAGGAATTCTATTTGGCCTGAGATTTGCAAAGCTTAAAAAAAATTCATGGACTTCACATTCGTTTCAGGACAATGTCAGGCAGTTCTTTCAATCGCCATATTTATTTGGTAAGCGTTGATACTTCATTTATTGTACTAGTTTCGGATGACAGCTCAGCTAAGCGCCGCTAGCAAACTTGCTAGCTTGGCGCTAGCTAGCTAACCTCTTTATTTTTTTTATTTTCTTTACATCACCCCAGTTCTAAAAAAAAATACGTTTCAGCCGGATGTCACTGCATGTATGAGTCTTATTGAAGTAAATATGGGTTTTCTGTTTGCTGAACATTATCAGACACTCGTTATCCGTTAGCTCGCCTCGTAGACGTTACAGTCGAGCTGTCAAGGTTGCACAGCTTAGCTAGCCAGTTAGCTAACGCAAGTCATAACAAATCTTAGTTTTTAGTTTGCTAGTTAGCCAGTTGGGTCGTTCCTACAAATCGGTGCCTTAGTTTTGGACCTCATAACTTTAGATACAATTTTATTATTATATATTATTTTGTATTTTATCAGAAAAAGGTCGTTTGACTTTCAGAAAAACATGTTGGTCAAGCTCAGGCACTTTTTTTTTTTTCAACATGTTAGTAGGTGCATAATCCTAACCAGGTTTAACCTAACAGGGTGAAAATGTGGAGACTAAATTAGCCATAGCTCTGTGAGTGATTAAAAATTTAGTTAGCAAAATGGTGAACACTTGAACAGGATTTTAACTTCTCTATCAAACATATTTTAACATTTTGAAATTTGGTTAATTTTCTCTAGTATTTAGCCTAATGAGCGGGACATACAGACTAAAAACATGGAAAAATGGATACAACTGAGTGTATATTTATTTAGCTTTGTACCATTGTTTTCTCACCAAAGACATTACACTTCCTGAATGTGTTGTCATTGTAGGAAGGGGTTGTTTTCTTAAATTGATAAATACAACAAACTAACAGGGTGGAAAGTGATCAGGGGCACAGAAAATCTTAAATAAAATAATAAATACAATCATTAAAAAAACGTTATTGATGAGAGAGAATTGAACTAGGACCTGATTTGACCAACCTGAAAATCGTGTTGGTTTTTCTGTATGTCACAGTCTCTCTCTACATAGGGTCATTCAAGGCAACATAGCCCACTCTGTGTTCCTGCTAAAGCTGACAAAACATTGTAGCTATGTTGTAACTAAGTCAGTAATACACTGATGTAAGGTTGATCATGGTTACTCTATTTTAAACCAATTCACTCATCCCACCTGGACCTTGTGCTAGATCGGATGAGTCATGGAAATGGGCCAGTTTTAAAAAATGTGGGGTAATCCAGATTTAAATCATTTGTGTTAAATTCTGCTCCCCACTTCAGATTGTGGCGCCTTGCTTTTGGATGAAGCTTTAAAACAGACTAACAAAATATCTAGGCCTATGATATTGAAATCAAATGATATGCTACAATTAAAACATGTTAATATGATCCCATGACAATTGAGGGAAATCAGCCTATTGCTTTTCAGTTTACTTTAAGTGCACAGGGAATATGATCTAATGGGGAGCAGAATTCTAAGATGACACTTAAGATTCAATTTTCTGAACTGGCCCCTGGTGATGCTGTACAGTCGCTAGCTGGATCAGTGCCATCACTGCTCATAAAAATGCCCCCTGACCCAATGTTTTGGCAGTTCACACAAGTATCCAGCAGAAGGCAGCATTATATCATTCATTACAGTACCAGTCAAAAGTTTGCACACACCTACTCATTCCAGGGTTTTTCTTTATTTTTTACTATTTTCTACATTGTAGAATAATAGTGAAGACATCAAAACTAAGAAATAACACATATGGAATCATGTAGTAACCAAAACATATTTTATATTTGAGATTCTTCAAATTGCCACCCTTTGCCTTGATGACAGCTTTGCACCCTCTTGGTGTTCTCTCAACCAGCTTCATGAGGTAGTTACCTGGAATACATTTCAATTAACAGGTGTGCCTTCTTAAAAGTGAATTTGTGGAATTCATTTCCGTGTTAATGCGTTTGAGCCGATCAGTTGTGTTGTGACAAGGTATACAGAAGAGAGCCCTATTTGGTAAAAGGCCAAGTCCATATTACTGTCCTGTAGGTTTTTGCTCCAACCCCAGTTGTTCTTGTATTATAGAATAGCGGTCTGCAAACAAATGTTAAAGGTGCATGCCGCCACCTACTGTGCTGGAGTGTGTTCAATCGCGGATTACAACATTAGCTCCACATTTCTAAATCCTCCTACCTAATTCAGTGCTTCTGAGAAAATAAACAAGAGCCCTACTAACTTCTAATAGACCCTCCCTCATACCCAAAATCCCTTCCGAACTCCCCCAACCCCGTCTAACCTCAACGACCCTACACTTAAATATTTCCTTCTCTTCAACATACTTACAACAATATAACACATGCTCCAGCAGTTCATCTACCATACACTCCAGACACAAACCATTCACATGCTTGCCAATCAGATGTAGTGACGATTTCATTGTCCTAGGCGCAATCGAGCAAACACCCCTCTTCCTTCCTAATCTGACCTTTGAATCTTGGTCCACTGACCATTCTTTGCAGAGCATATAAATGCCAGCCCTTGGGCTCAGTCCCATCTCTTCTGCCACACATCTATCAAAATGGCTCTGATCTTACATTTGGCCTCACCTGTACCCAGTGGAATATTACATCACATATCTAGTTTTAAAGCTATTTTGGCTCTGGTCTACAATTTGAATCCCTTCCACACCTGAATAGGCTGGGAGAATCTCACTACTACTCAGTCTCAATTCTCCATAGTAACATTAATGCCTCCAATAGTAGGTCACTCCCATTAGATTTGCAAGATGGTAAACTATTCAATACAGACAGGGAATCTGAGCGTACTATAATTCTGACAGGTTGAACAACCCCATTTGTAACTAACATGATTCAGCTTATCAACCAGCTAATTATTAGAATCAGGTGTGCTAGAATAGGGTTGGAATGAACCTACAGGTAGCTCTCCAGGAACAGGGTTGGAGAGCCCTGGCCTAAGCCTAGCCAAAATGAAAAAAGAAACCAGACAAATTAGCTTATAATTAAGGTTAATTTGAATGAATGATCTTTCTGCTGTGTGCCGTTTAATGGATTGTAAAGACAATCTGTGGATGTGATTATGATAATAGAGCTTTTGTAAGGCTGGGATAAAAATAGAGTCTGTGATAAAAAATGATTTCAGTCGACGACGGGGGGCGGGGAGGGCAATGTTTTACAGACAGGAATTGGTCTGCAAGCTCCTGTCATGGCGGTCACTGCCCTTACATTGTCTGTCTGTCTGTGTGTGTGTCTCTAGCCCCCCCCACCTCAATAAACACACACAGCACACACTCAATTGCACGTTTGCTTCCCCTGCCTGTTCAGACTAAGAGAGCTAGGGTTATGAATGGGGGTTTCAGCGGGCGTGCTTTCAGGGCGTTGTTGTCCAGTGATGTGCTCATCCAGGCCTGAGTTCTTCACACATGACATGCAGAGCAGAAGGAGACCTTCGTACATGAACGGCAAAAACAACACATGAACAACAACACAAGCACCAGTACATGAGGTTCTCCCACAGCCATGGCTCATCACCTTGTATCATTCGGGCCTTGCAGGCCATTTCTAATACACTAGTTCTATCTACTGATCTGTGTTCTACCGTTGTAATTCTCAGTCAACATAACATTGTAATACTCAGTATTACAAGGAGATGACAGAGTTGGGCACTAGCATGGCCAGCCCAGTGCCTAATATGACCCTGAGCCAGCTCAACTGTGGTCCTCTGAGTGGCTCCAGCTGCTGTGGACGACTATGTTTCAGGCTGTGGTGGCCCAGTGGGCGACAGGGCTTCCAGCCCCAGGCAAATATGTCAGTCGCCATCGCAGCCTACTGTTGATCTGCCTGCACTGCTCTCTCTTCTGTCGCCAGGGTGCTGTCCGCTTCCTGTGGCCTGGTGGCTTTGATCTCTCCCTGTCAGTGGATGTGTGCTGAGGCATGAGCCCCACAGCTCTCACCCTCTTTCCTCTTATAGCCTCCTACTGTACCACTTCTTTCTTCTTCGTTAGCCCGCATGCATTTCTAGGCTCCTCTAACATTCTGTTCCTCTTCCTTCTCAATAGACTGACTGACTGAATATAGCCTAGCTTGCCTTTTTAATGTACTTATTTGATGTCACACAGACCCAATCAGAGTAGGATATACGCTACATGACCAAAAGTATGTGGACACCTGCTCTTAAAACATCTCATTCCAAAATCAATGGCATTTATATGGTGTTGGTCCCCCCTTTGCTGCTATAACAGCCTCTCTTCTGGGAAGGCATTCCACTAGATGTTGGAACATTGCTGCAGGGACTTGCTTCCATTCAGCCACGAGCATTAGTGAGGTCAGGCACTGATGTTTGATGATTAGGCCTGGCTCGCAGTCGGCGTTCCAATTCATCCCAAAGGTGTTAGATGGAATTGAGGTCAGGGCTCTGTGCAGGCCAGTCAAGTTCTTCAACACTGATCTTGACAAACCATTTCTGTATGGACCTTGCTTTGTGCACGGGACATTGTCATGCTGAAACAGGAAAGGGCCTTCCCCAAACTGTTGCCACAAAGTTGGAAGCACAGAATCGTCTAGAATGTAATTGTATGCTGTAGTGTTAGATTCCCCTTCACTGGAACTAAGGGGCCTGGCCCAAACTATGAAAAACAGCCCCAGACCATTATTCCTCTTCCACCAAACTTTACAGTTGGCACTATGCATTGGGGCAGGTAGCGTTCTACTGGCATCCTCCAAACCCAGATTCGTCCGTCGGACTGCCAGATGGTGAAGCATGATTCATCACTCCAGAGAACGCGTTTCCACTGCTCCAGAGTCCTGTGGCGGCGAGCTTTACACCACTCCAACCGACGCTTGTTATTGAGCATGGTGAATTTAGGCTTGTGTGCGGATTCTCGGCCATGGAAACCTATTTCATGAACCTCCCGACGGAACAGTTCTTGTGCTGACGTTGCTTCCAGAGGCAGTTTGGAACACAGTAGTGAGTGTTGCGACCGAGGACGGACGATTTCAGCACTCGACGGTCCAGTTCTGTGAGCTTGTGTGGCCTACCTCTTCGCAGCTGAGCCGTTGTTGCTTCTAGACGTTTCCACTTCAAAATAACAGCACTTACAGTTGACCGGGGAAGCTCTAATAGGGCAGCAATTTGACGAACTGAATAGTTGGAAAGGTGGCATCCTATGACTGTGTCACGTTGAAAGTCACTGAGCCTTTCATTAAGGCCATTCTACTGCAAATGTTTGTCTATGGAGATTGCATGGTGGTGTGCTCGATTATATACACCTGTCAGCAACTGGTGTGGCTGAAATAGCCGAATCCACTAATTTGAAGGGGTGTCCACATACCTTTGTGTATATATAGTGTAGCATAGACCTATTAATGCATTTTTGTTCAATTGACTTGATTTTCTAGTTATGTAGACTAAAGTGAACGATTTCATTCTTTGTTATAAATTAGCATGTATTGCTACTTGGGGTCTGACTGGTGTTGATGTGTTTTCTCTCTTTCCTCTAGGGGCTGCCCCAGTCAAAGTGGAGATGCCTGCTCTCTCTCCCACCATGGAGGAGGGAAACATTGTCAAATGGTTGAAGAAAGAAGGTAAGAGAGCCCCTGCCTCCATTTGCCAACGTTCACAACATACTCAGCTTCTCTATTGCATGTAGACTACAATCCTACATAACATAATCCAGCCTACTACACAAATCCAATATGGTTGATTTAAATTTTACATCTCCATCCATATACCTTCATAAAGACACACTCATCACCCTAAACATATTCTACATTTTGAGATGTGAGTAATGACTGGGAATATTCCATGGACCAGTTAATTAAGCCTTGGCAGTTCAGTGTTGGTCAGATTAGCCAACTCTCTCATTTATTAAGGAGGAGAAAAGCAGTGCCATGTTTCTCCCTTTCTCCACCTCGGAGTGATGGAGGGGCCAGAGTGTTCATTATTGACCATGTGACATCATATCCTTCTACACAGCAGTCAGAGCCCAGGCAGGCTGAGAAAGGAAGGCACCTGAAACTTGGCATTGTCTATGTCACTGGGTAGCAACGCTGTTCCCCCTCGCCGCCATAGCCACATAGCCATTCATCAGAGACAGTCAGCCCATACCCTGCTCCTATTGGTCGATTTACACTTGTGTAGCCTCAGTTGTCATGTGGCTGTTATAACACTGGAATGTGGTGTCTATGGGAATGTATCTCATGGTATTGCGAGCATAATTATCAGCATTTTATAAAGACTTGTGTAGGTTTCACTGTCACTCTGTAGCCTAAATATAGTGGCGTAATATGAATGCCTTTTGGGTTTTGACGTTCATCATGTGTTTCGTCAGAGATGGTATAAAAATGATCATGTTTTTGGGTTGTAATAAGCTTGTGGAAATAAAACAACGTGCGGTGATGTGCCCAGATGGAACGAACTTGCAGAGCACAATGATTGGTTTTTCATTGCTGTGTGATGCGAGTGTGGGAGCATGTGTTATTTCAAGTGGAGAAGGAATTCTATTCTGCAGAAACCACAACATATTTTCACTGTTTCCTGGGTGCGTGCTTGCATTGTGTGAGTAGTCGTATGACCTGTGTGAGTTGATGGCAGCATAGCCCAAAAATGTTTTTGGTATCTGATAGTTCTGGCAATTCTCACATAGAACCTTTATTTGGAGGAAGGATGTTTGATATGCTTTTTACATTTGTAACACAATTGTTTTGTTGTTGAAAATCACAATGAAAGTGGCCGTTTGAGGCCCTTCTTAGACCTATACATGTCCCCTGTGACACCCAATTATCCATGATACAAGCAACATCTTGGTGTCATTATACTCCATAGTGTGCTCTAAAATATGTAGTATTGCTACATTCTGAAATACAATTTTACACGAATGTATTCAACATTAAAACTATGAATATCTCAAAAGTCCCCTCTTGGTATTTTTTAGAAATATCGTTTTACATTTCCAGAGTGGGCTCTCTGCTACTGTTAAGATACATTTTATGAGCACCACCAACACATTGAATGGGGAAATGGATTCAAAGGGAACTCTGCTGGTGATTTGATAAATATGCAATCCTGCAGAAGGGCTATGATTGGTAAAATTGGTCAATTTCTATGTTTTAAAATGGATAATTTCTTAAAAAGTAGCCGAGAGCCCACTCTGGAAATTTGATGTTTGAATAGTATATTGTTCCAAACAATATGTGGGTGATTCCACACGATGGTCAACCTTAGCATCCTAAATTAATAATTTCCAATGGAAACCATGTTTCTTATTATCCTTAAGGTCTATATTTTGGAGGAAACTGTATGAATTCTCCATCACTCTCCTTGGTCAAATAGGCCTTACATAGCCTGGAGGTGTGTTTTGGATCATTGTCCTGTTGAAAAACAAATGATAGGATGGCGTATCGCTGCAGCGTCACCAGCAAAGCACCACCACACCACCACCTCAATGCTTCACGATGGGAACCAAACATGCGGAGATCATCCGTTCACCTACTCTGCGTCTCACAAAGACACGGCGGTTGGAACCAAAAATCTCACTTTTGACTCATCAGGTTTACATAAACTTAGGCTGGAGTCATTAAAACTCGTTTTTCAAACACTCTACAAATTTCTTGTTAACAAACTATATTTTTGGCAAGTCGGTTAGGACATCTACTTTGTGCGTGACAAGTAATTTTTCCAACAATTGTTTACAGACAGATTATTTCATTTATAATTCACTGTATCACAATTCCAGTGGGTCAGAAGTTTACATACACTAAGTTGACTGTGCCTTTAAACAGCATGGAAAATTCCAGAAAATGATGTCATGACTTTAGAAGCTTCTGATAGGCTAATTGACATCATTTGAGTCAATTGGAGGTGTAGCTGTGGATGTATTTCAAGGCCTACTTTCAAACTAAGTGCCTCTTTGCTTGACATCATGGGAAAATCTAAAGACATCAGCCAAGACCTCAGAAAAAAAATTGTAGACCTCCACAAGTCTGGTTCATCCTTGGGAGCAATTTCCAAATGTCTGAAGGTACCACGTTCATCTGTACAAACAATAGTAAGCAAGAATAAACACCATGGGACCACGCAGCCGTCATACCGCTCAGGAAGGAGACGCGTTCTGTCTCCTAGAGATTAACATACTTTGGTGCGAAAAGTGCAAATAAATCCCAGAGCAACAGCAAAGGACATTGTGAAGATGCTGGAGGAAACAGGTACAAAAGTATCTATATCCACAGTAAAACAAGTCCTATATCAACAACCTGAAATGTCCTCTTGTCTGATTAAACAAAAATAGAACTGTTTGGCCATAATGACCATCGTTATAAGAACACCATCCCAAACGTGAAGCACGGGGTGGCAGCATCATGCTGTGGGGATGCTTTGCTGCAAGAGGGACTGGTGCACTTCACAAAATACAGTGGGGAAAAAAAGTATTTAGTCAGCCACCAATTGTGCAAGTTCTCCCACTTAAAAAGATGAGAGGCCTGTAATTTTCATCATAGGTACACGTCAACTATGACAGACAAATTGAGAGAAAAAAAATCCAGAAAATCACATTGTAGGATTTTTAATGAATTTATTTGCAAATTATGGTGGAAAATAAGTATTTGCTCACCTACAAACAAGCAAGATTTCTGTCTCTCACAGACCTGTAACTTCTTCTTTAAGAGGCTCCTCTGTCCTCCACTCGTTACCTGTATTAATGGCACCCGTTTGAACTTGTTATCAGTATAAAAGACACCTGTCCACAACCTCAAACAGTCACACTCCAAACTCCACTATGGCCAAGACCAAAGAGCTGTCAAAGGACACCAGAAACAAAATTGTAGACCTGCACCAGGCTGGGAAGACTGAATCTGCAATAGGTAAGCAGCTTGGTTTGAAGAAATCAACTGTGGGAGCAATTATTAGGAAATGGAAGACATACAAGACCACTGATAATCTCCCTTGATCTGGGGCTCCACGCAAGATCTCACCCCGTGGGGTCAATGATCACAAGAACGGTGAGCAAAAATCCCAGAACCACACGGGGGGACCTAGTGAATGACCTGCAGAGAGCTGGGACCAAAGTAACAAAGCCTACCATCAGTAACACACTACGCCGCCAGGGACTCAAATCCTGCAGTGCCAGACGTGTCCCCCTGCTTAAGCCAGTACATGTCCGTGTCCGTCTGAAGTTTGCTAGAGTGCATTTGGATGATCCAGAAGAGGATTGGGAGAATGTCATATGGTCAGATGAAACCAAAATAGAACTTTTTGGTAAAAACTCAACTCGTCGTGTTTGGAGGACAAAGAATGCTGAGTTGCATCCAAAGAACACCATACCTACTGTGAAGCATGGGGGTGGAAACATCATGCTTTGGGGCTGTTTTTCTGCAAAGGGACCAGGACGACTGATCCGTGTAAAGGAAAGAATGAATGGGGCCATGTATCGTGAGATTTTGAGTGAAAACCTCCTTCCATCAGCAAGGGCATTGAAGATGAAACGTGGCTGGGTCTTTCAGCATGACAATGATCCCAAACACACCGCCCGGGCAACGAAGGAGTGGCTTCGTAAGAAGCATTTCAGGGTCCTGGAGTGGCCTAGCAAGTCTCCAGATCTCAACCCCATAGAAAATCTTTGGAGGGAGTTGAAAGTCTGTGTTGCCCAGCGACAGCCCCAAAACATCACTGCTCTAGAGGAGATCTGCATGGAGGAATGGGCCAAAATACCAGCAACAGTGTGTGAACCTTGTGAAGACTTACAGAAAACGTTTGACCGGTGTCATTGCCAACAAAGGGTATATAACAAAGTATTGAGAAACTTTTGTTATTGACCAAATACTTATTTTCCACCATAATTTGCAAATAAATTCATTTAAAAATCCTACAATGTGATTTTCTGGAAAAATATTTTCTCATTTTGTCTGTCATAGTTGACGTGTACCTATGATGAAAATTACAGGCCTCTCTCATCATTTTAAGTGGGAGAACTTGCACAATTGGTGGCTGACTAAATACTTTTTTCCCCCACTGTAGATGGCATGATGAGGAAGGACAATTATGTGGACATCTCAAGACATCAGTCAGGAAGTTAAAGCTTGGTCGCCAATGGGTCTTCCAAATGGACTATAACCCCAAGCATACTTCCAAAGTTGTGGCAAAATGGCTTAAGGACAACAAAGTCAAGGTATTGGAGTGGCCATCACAAAGCCCTGACCCTGAATCCTATATAAAATGTGTGGGCAGAACTGAAAAGGCGTGTGCGAGCAAGGAGGCCTACAAACCTGACTCATTTACACCAGCTCTGTCAGGAGGAATGGGCCAAAATACACCCAACTTATTGTGGGAAGCTTGTGGAAGGCTACCTGACATGTTTGACCCAAGTTAAACAATTTAAAGGCAATGCTACCAAATACTAATTGAGTGTATGTAACCTTCTGACCCACTGGGAATGTGATGAAAGAAATAAAAGCTGAAATAAATAATTCTCTCTACTATTATTCTGACATTTCACATTCTTAAAATAAAGTGGTGATCCTAACTGACCTAAGACATGGAATTTTTACTAGGATTGAATGTCAGGAATTGTGAAAAACTGAGTTTAAATGTATTTGGCTAATCTGTATGTAAACTTCCGACTTCAACTGTGTATGTGTGTGTGTGTGTCACGTTATCTTTTTATAAATGGTCAAATTGAGTTCCCCTGTCGCCACAAGATGAATAGTTTTGACCACACTCCACTGCTATGAGTGGTGCAGCTAGAAATCGTAAATGTCTATCCTATATTGAAAAGGCACCCGCAAATGAAAATTCCACAAACATGTTTATCTATTTTGTGCTGTTAGATTTGAATTTAGTTTCGTGTTGTTAGATATCATAGTGCCCTGTAAAACAATATTCAAATGTATTGAACTTAGTAGGAAATCAACATATTGTATTGAATTTATTAGAACATGAATATGGCCAAGATTATTTTAAGACATGAACAAAATGCGTGAGTAGCTAGGTTTCCATCCAATTGGTGACAGACTGTCATGTGAATATTCTAAAATATGCTAATTTTCCAACCAATGGTGTGTTTCCACCAAACGGACTTGTTGCGGAGAAAAGTCAGTGCTTGATGACGTAGTGCACACACACTTTACTTTATGTAACCAACTTTCAATGTGTTTCCATCGCATTATGAACTTTACCGATTTTAGTTAGTTGCCTTTTTAAATAGTAAATGTGCCTACTCTGGTCTTGGCACGCATGCTCTAGCCAACAATTTGCAGATACAGTTCAGGTAGGCTGTGTTTGTAGGCTACATGATGAGATGATTATGGATAAGAGTGAGAATATTTTTACTTGTCAAACAGCAGTCAAGCATCCATCGTCATGTCACCAGAATAAGACCCTCAATATTTATTGGAAAGGAGCATCAAGATCACTGTGCACTTTCACCACCCTGTGAAGTTCATCATAACTTATTTCATCTGTAGCCTAATAAACTGCATGGTTTCCCGAGTCATAGTGGGAGGAACAAGTTTTCTTCGATATGATGGTTATTATATCAATATTTGTGCATAAAGGCGTTTCCATCACCATTTCTTGCATTATACATTTTACCGGCACAAAAAGTTCCCACCATGTCGAATGAACAAATTAGCCAAAAACCTTCTCAATGTTCACTACAAAGTAGCTAGTGCCTACCTAGTATCATGATTATTTGCATCAAATCTAATTTTATTTGCCACATGTGCCGAATACAACAGGTGTAGACCTTACACTGAAATGCTTACTTACAAGCCCTTAACCAACAATACAGTTTTAAGAAAAGAAAAGTGTTAAGTAAAAAATAAAAATAATTAAAGAGCAGCAGTAAAATAAAATAACAGTAGGGAGGATATATACAGGGGGTACCGGTACAGAGTCAATGTGTGGGGGGGACCGGTTAGTCGAGGTAATTGAGGTAATATGTACATGGGGGGGGGGGGGGGGGGTAGAGTTAAAGTGACTATGCGTAGATAATAAACAGGCAATTGCAAATAGTCCGGGTAGCCATGATTATCTGTTCAGGAGTCTTATGGCTTGGGGGTAGGAGCTGTTAAGAAGCCTTTTGGACCTAGACTTGGTGCTCCGGTACTGCTTGCCGTGCGATAGCAGAGAGAACAGTCTGACTAGGGAGGCTGGAGTCTTTGACAATTTTTAGGGCCTTCCTCTGACATAGAGGTCCTGGATGGCAGGAAGCTTGGCCCCAGTGATGTACTGGGCCGTACGCACTACCCTCTGTAGTGCCTTGCGGTCGGAGGCCGAGCAGTTGCCATGCCAGGTGGTGATGCAACCAGTCAGGATGCTCTCGATGGTGCAGCTGTATAACTTTTTGAGGATCTGAGTTCCCATGCCAAATCTTTTCAGTCTGCTGAAGGGGAATAGGTGGCTATTTGTTTAGCAAACTCTGCAATCACGTGTGCTACAGAAACACCGCTAACCAAACAAGTCTCTTGCTGGTGCACAGTTAAATTAAAGGGTATCTACATCCAACATTTTTTATTTGTTTTGCCAGACCTCAAAAGTAGTCTCCTGATGTGGTTTAAGCATTGTTGTGGACTTAGAACATCCAATTTTGCTATTAAAGTATGATTCTGAGAACAAAAACCTGAAAAAGTGGGGGAAAAGGAAAGCTGGAAAAACAAAACAGAATGGGATTTGGGAAAAAAGAGAACATAATTATGCAAAAAGTAAATTTTATAGGGCCCTAATCATTTGCGGCGTACATCATGAGCAAAGTCATTGTAGCCTGTCATTCCACTTCCTCTGGCATGAGCACGTGCTGACTTGGAATTGCTGGAGCGCAGCCGAATAGTCTGCCAGCAGCCTACCGAAGGTTGCACCGTGTCCATTACAATGTAGAAAAATTTGTCTCTAGTCCAAACCTTTCAATAGTTAGGAAATCCATATTACCAGAGCATCATCTTTTTTATTTTTCTATGGTGGATTCGTTGTCGCAATTTATGGAAGATGCCAGAACTTTGGAGATAACTTTGGATGGCAAAATCAAAGATACTGGCTTCCCCTATCCATCTTTGGCAAATTTTTCCCTAAATGCCAAATTATGACAACCAGCTCCAGAACCAGCCATAACCTGGAAAGCTGGCTAATCTTTTGAATACTGTGTAGCAACAACAGATAACATTAGCTAGCTAGATACAGACGGGATACTAGCTAGCTACACTTGACAGCTGTCAGTACCCTACTTGTTGTCCACTCCATGTGGAAATCACCACAATAAATGTTCCCACCCCTAATTCATGAATATATATTAGCAGCCTGCGTAATTCTTCGGAGGTGGAACAAAAAAAATAAAAAAATCCGCTATAGGACAGGAATTATGTCGAAATAGGGTCTCTGGTGGGGGACTTTTTAATAATAATATTTTTAATATTGAATCAATTCATGTGAACATTTTATTTCATAATATAGACACCAAGATGTCTGTACCATGTACGGTTCACGGATCAGAGTCTTACAGGAGGCATGCATAGGTCTAAAAAACGCCACTTTCATCATGATTTAACCCCCAAAAATGTCATACAAATGTAAAAAGCATGTTAAACATCCTTCCTCGCAATAAAGTTTTTATGTGAGAATTGCCAGAACAATATGTGATACCAAAAGTATTTTTGACCATGCATGCGTGGAATCGCCCAGTTGGCTTTGTCACTGGATATCCAGCTTTTCCTCTGACCCTATCCCATCCCCAGTGGTGTAGTGCACTTTTTTTAGGTGAGGGAGCACCTTTTTTTTTATGACGTCATAATTTCTTAACGTTTGTACAGAGTACTGACAGATGTAGCCTATTGAATATCATTGTAGAATAGGCCTATGCATAAACTACATCCTCCAATTGCCACATCTGCCTATGTAAACCATATTGTCATAAGAATATTTTCTATTTTGAATACCCTAAAACACCAAGTTAGGCATAACTAATTTCAAAATAGGCCATAATCACTGTCAATCGTGAATGATACATTTTATTTTTGTGTGTGTGTATGTATGTATGTATGTATGTATGTATGTATGTATGTATGTATATATATGTATATATATATATATATATATATATATATATATATATATATATTAGATTAGATAGATAGATAGATAGATATAGATATATAGATATTTTTTTAAACCTTTTATTTAACTAGGCAAGTCCGTTAAGAACATTCTTATTTATAATAACTGCCTACACCGGCCAAACCCGGACGACACTTGGTCAGTTGTGCGCCGCCCTATGGGACTCCCAATCACGGCCGGTTGTGATACATCCTGGAACCGAACCAGGGGGTCTGTAGTGACGCCTCTAGCACTGAGATGCAGTGCCTTAGACCGCTGCGCCACTCGGCATCCCATCTCAATCAGTTTCATGGGAATATGCATTTAGATCTTCTTGAATTAGTGCTTTGTGAGTGAATTAAAGCAGATGGTGTTAACAAACTAGCCTTTCTGTAGACCTATTTTGTTTCAATCAAAGCATATATAATTCCTTATTCAGCTTCAGATAAGAAATGACTGAGGTGTTTTAACATATTCTAGGCCTACTATGCTACAGTATATGCTATTATATTCCAATCAATCATTATGTGATCTTGCGAGACATTGATTAAGCTTTGATCTAACTTTACTAAACGAACTCCATGGTGAGAAGTGATAATTTTCTATTTGTAATAATAAGTACTGAGTAGGACTATTAGGCGTAGGCAACAGATCTTGATGAGGGTTATTTTAAGCAATTTGAGGGCCCTTCGAATCATGGTGCTGAAAGGACAGCACCGTAACCGTATTTGGTCACACGTCGTTCTGGGTTCCACTGCGCAAGAGGGGGTCCGTGGAGTTTTATGAACGTCAAGGCAGACTCTGTGAATTTGGATCCTAGATCTCATTGGTGTGATAAGGTTAATGTGGTGGATCAGTTTGTCTGCATACGCAATCGAGGTGGTACGTTTCTGTAAGCTAAGCACTCGGACACTAGGGTTGAGTTCAAGTGCGTCGTACATGATCCCTAAGTCCATAACAAACTGTTTTGAGGACAGCCATTTTAGCAACCCATGGTGAAGTTTTCTGTCTGTGCCTGTTCTTGTTACGTCGGACCGACGGGCCTCTGCACACACGCCAACAGTTATTCATTATTCGCACCACCGCCAGAGAGCGAGAAGACAGGGAAAAAAACACCATTTACCTTACCTACCTATAGGCTATAGCTTACATATTTTTGTTTTTCGTTCTATTTATTTAGAGCTTATTTTCCAGAAATACACTGCTCAAAAAAATAATGGGAACACTAAAATAACACACCCTAGATCTGAATGAATGAAATAATCTTATGAAATACTTTTTTCTTTATATAGTTGAATGTGCTGACAACAAAATCACACAATGTATCAATGGAAATCAAATTTATCAACCCATGGAGGTCTGGATTTGGAGTCAAACCACACTACAGGCTGATCCAACTTTGATGTAATGTCCTTAAAACAAGTCAAAATGAGGCTCAGTAGTGTGTGTGGCCTCCACGTGCCTGTATGTCCTCCCTACAACGCCTTGGCATGCTCCTGATGAGGTGGCGGATGGTCTCCTGAGGGATCTCCTCCCAGACCTGGACTAAAGCATCCGCCAACTCCTGGACAGTCTGTGGTGCAACGTGGCATTGGTGGATGGAGCGAGACATGATGTCCCAGATGTGCTCAATTGGATTCAGGTCTGGGGAACGGGCGGTCCATAGCATCAATGCCTTCCTCTTGCAGGAACTGCTGACACTCCAGCCACATGAGGTCTAGCATTGTCTTGCATTAGGAGGAACCCAGGGCCAACCGCACCAGCATATGGTCTCACAAGGGGTCTGAGGATCTCATCTTGGTACCTAATGGCAGGCAGGCTACCTCTGGCGAGCACATGGAGGGCTGTGCGGCCCCCCCCCAAAGAAATGCCACCCCACACCTGCACATTTGTGGCCTGCTGGAGGTCATTTTGCAGGGCTCTGGCAGTGCTCCTCCTGCTCCTCCTTGCACAAAGGCGGAGGTAGCAGTCCTGCTGCTGGGTTGTTGCCCTCCTACGGCCTCCTCCACGTCTCCTGATGTACTGGCCTGTCTCCTGGTAGCGCCTCCATGCTCTGGACGCTACGCTGACAGACACAGCAAACCTTATTGCCACAGCTCGCATTGATGTGCCATCCTGGATGAACTGCACTACCTGAGCCACTTGTGTGGGTTGTAGACTCCGTCTCATGCTACCACTAGAGTGAAAGCATCGCCAGCATTCAAAAGTGACCAAAACATCAGCCAGGAAGCATAGGAACTGAGAAGTGGTCTGTGGTCACCACATGCAAAACCAGTCCTTTATTGGGGGTGTCTTGCGAATTGCCTATAATTTCCACCTGTTGTCTATTCCATTTGCACAACAGCATGTGACATTTATTGTCAATCAGTGTTGCTTCCTAAGTGGACAGTTTGATTTTACAGAAGTGTGATTGACTTGGAGTTACATTGTGTTGTTTGTGTTCCCTTAATTTTTTTGAGCAGTGTATTTTTACCAGCTCCGTGTATTCTCAAATTGAAAAAAGTGAGGGCGCGCCGCTCCCCTGCGGTACGGCAGCACTACATCCCTGCCCATCCCCTTGTATTGTAAGTGTGTGTCATTGTGTAGCTTAAGCCTATTGCCATTCCAGTGGGGAAGAGGTGAAAGGGGCAGGTGGTTGACTGTTTAAACCTTAACACCGGCTAACCCCTTGGGTCATCTGGTGTTAAAACCACACACACACACACACACACACACACACACAAATATCCTTTCTAGTCCTCCCTTCTCCCGGCTCTCTGGAGCTTCTGAGGTCAATACTCACTCCCACCCCTGCCCACTATTTCCCTCACACCCTGTCCGATCCTCCCACCACCCTCTCTCCCACAATTCTCCCTTTTTCTCTTCCTAAAAGTTGAGGTGATATTTTACTAGGCAGGCTATTGGAGCTGAGGATGGTGTTTCCCTGTATGGATGTGTACAGTGCCTTGCAAAAGTATTCAGCCCCCTTGGCGTTTTTTCCTATTTTGTTGCATTACAACCTGTAATTATTTTAATGGATTTTTATTTGGATTTCATGTAATGGACATATACAAAATAGTCCAAATTGGTGAAAATGAAATGAAAAAAAATAACTTGTTTAACCAAATTCTAAAAAATTAATAACGGAAAAGTGGTGCGTGCATATGTATTCACCCGCTTTGCTGTGAAGCCCCTAAATAGGACCGGTGCAACCAATTACCTTCAGAAGTCACATAATTAGTTAGATTGCACACAGGTGGACTTTAAGTGTCACATGATCTCAGTATATATACACTTGTTCTGAAAGGCCCCAATCTGCAACAACACTAAGCAAGGGGCACCACCAAGCAAGCAGCACATCCCACGGAGCACCATTCAATCCATTATTTTAAAAAATATATTTAAAAAATATGGCACCACAACAAACCTGCCAAGAGGGCCGCCCACCAAAACCCACGGACCAGGCAAGGAGGGCATTAATCAGAGGCAACAAAGAGATCAACAATAACCCTGAAGGAGCTGCAAAGCTCCACAGCGGAGATTGGAGTATCTGTTCATAGGACCACTTTAAGCCGTACACTCCACAGAAGTATGCTTTACGGAAGAGTGGACAGAAAAAAGCAATTTCTTAAAGATAAAAATAAGCAAACATTTGGTGTTCGCCAAAAGGCATGTGGGAGACTCCCCAAACATGGAAGGAAGGTACTCTGGTCAGATGAGACTGAAATTGAGCTTTTTAGCCATCAAGTGAAACTCTATGTCTGGCGCAAACCCAACACCTCTCATCACCCCGAGAACACCATCCCCACAGTGAAGCATGGTGGTGGCATCGGCAGGGACTGGGAAACTGGTCAGAATGGAAGGAATGATGGATGGTGCTAAAGACAGGGAAATTCTTGAGGGAAACCTGTTTCGGTCTTCTAGAGATTTGAGACTGGGACGAAGGTTCACCTTCCAGCAGGACAATGACCATAATCATACTGCTAAAGCAACACTTGAGTGGTTTAAGGGTAAACATTTAAATGTCTTGGAATAGCCTAGTCAAAGCCCAGACCTCAATCCAATTGAGAATCTGTGGTATGACTTAAAGATTGCCGTACACCAGCGGAACTCATCCAACTTGAAGGAGCTGGAGCAGTTTTGCCTTGAAGAATGGGCAAAAATCCCAGTGGCTAGATGTGCCAAGCTTATAGAGACATACCCCAAGAGACTTGCAGCTGTAATTGCTGCAAAAGGTGGCTCTACAAAGTATTGACTTTGGGGGGGGATGAATAGTTATGCACACTCAGGTTTTCTGTTTCACCCCAAAAAATATTTTGCATCTTCAAAGTGGTAGGCATGTGTAAATCAAATGATACAACCCCCCCAAAAAATCCATAATAATTCCAGGTTGTAAGGCAACAAAATAGGAAAAATGCCATGGGGGGTGAACACTTTCGCAAGCCACTGTACCTTCTTTCTCCCTGTGTTACTGTCCTGACCCGAGGTGACCTTTCCACCCTAGGATCGCCTGTTGAAAATAAAGACTGACTCAATGTGACCCCTTCCCAATAGGCCCCAACCTCATCTTCCTCTTCTGGCTTGTCTTCACTCAATAACAAATGGCCTCTTTTTAATAAAAAATATCACCACTCCCCGGTTTTAGATTTGATTCTCTAGCCCCATAGGGAAATGTAGAGACATGGGGCAATATTATGAAGAACATACAAATCTACCAGAACCCCTTCCTTTACACCCAGTACTGCTGCTGTTCTCCTGTTTGTCTGTGTTTCTGTAGGTAATAATAATAATAATAATAATAATAATAATAGGTGTAATGTATGCATATATGGATGTGGTGGAGGGAAGCAGTGCTTCCTAATTGCAGTCTTCTTTCATTGCTTCGCAGATGTAAATGTATTCCTAGCTATTTCCTAGCCTCCCATACAACCGCGTTCTAGAGATGTAGCCTACCATCAAACATTCCAAAGATAATGTACACATTTGTAATCATGTAGTAACCCAAAAAGTGTTAAACAAATCAACATATGTTTTATATTTGAGATTCTTCAAAGTAGACAACCTTTGCCTTGGTGACAGCTTTGCACACTCTTGGCATTCTCTCAACCAGCGTGATGAGGTAGCCACCTGGAATCCATTTCAATTGACAGGTGTGTCTTCTTAAAAGTTAAAATTTGTGGAATTAATTTCCTTCTTAATGTGTTTGAGCCAATCAGTTGTGTTGTGACAAGGTAGTGGGGGGGGGGGTATACAGAAGATAGCCCTATTTGGTAAAAGACCAAGTCCATATTATGTCAAGAACAGCTCAAATAAGCAATCATTACTTTAAGAAATGAAGGTCAGTTAATACGGAACATTTCAAGAACTTTGAAAGTGCAGTCGCAAAAACCATCAAGCGCTATGATGAAACTGGCTCTCATGAGGACCACCACAGGAATGGAAGACCCAGAGTTACCTCTGCTGCAGAGGATAAGTTCATTAGAGTTACCAGCCTCAGAAATTGCAGCCCAAATAAATGCTTCAGAGCGTTCAAGTAACAGACACATCTCAACATTGACTGTTCAGAGGGGACTGTGTGAATCAGGACTTCATGGTCAAATTGCTACAAAGTAACCACTACTAAAGGACACCAATAACACGAGACCTGCTTGGGCCAAGAAACACGAGCAATGGACATTAGACCGGTGGAAATTTGTCCTTTGGTCTGGAGTTCAAATTTGAGATTTTTGGTTCCAACCGCCGTGTCTTTGTAAGATGCGGTGTGGGTGAACGGATGATCTCCGCATGTGTAGTTCCCACCGTAAAGCATGGAGGAGGAGGTGTTATGATGTGGGGGTGCTTTGCTGGTGACACTGTCTGTGATTTATTTAGAATTCCATGCACACTTAACCAGCATGGCTACCACAGCATTCTGCAGCGATACGCCATCCCATCTTCAACAGGACAATGACCCAACACACCTCCAGGCTCTGTAAGGGCTATTTTATCAAGAAGTAGAGTGATGGAGTGCTGCATCAGATGACCTGGCCTCCACAATCCCCCGACCTCAACCCAATTGAGATGGTTTGGCATGAGTCGGATGGCAGAGTGAAGGGAAAGCAGCCAACAAGTGCTCAGCATATGTGGGAACTCCTTCAAGAGTGTTGGAAAAACCATCCAGGTGAACCTGGTTGAGAGAATGCCAAGAGTGTGCAAAGCTGTCATCAAGGCAAAGGGTGGCAATTTTGAAGAATCTCAAATATAAAATATATTTTGATTTGTTTAACACTTTTTTGGTTACTACATGATTCCATATGTGTTATTTCATAGTTTTGATGTCTTCACTATTAGTCTACAATGTAGAAAATAGTAAAACATAAAGAAAACCCCTTGAATGAGTAGGTGTGTCCAAACTTTTGACTGGTACTGTATCTAAAAAGATGGGTGTCAAAATTATTTGGACCCCTCTTTACAAAACTATAACACCCTCCCCTTGCGAGGATAACGACACTGAGCCTTTTTCTCAAATGTTTTATGAGATTGGAGAAGACCATTCCTCCATACAGAATCTTTCCAGATCGTTGATAGCCTTCGCCTGCGCTTATGGATCCGCCCTCTTCAATTCAGTTCTAAATCTATGGTTATAGCATCCCTTAGAAATTGACTTTCTATTCTACTCTCGCTCACCATTTTTTATTTTTTATTTTATGTACGTTTTTCCTTTCTCAAATTATTAGTCTTAGACATTCTAAGTGGTCTGACTGTTGCTGGTGTCCTGCAGGTGAGGCGGTGGCGGCTGGCGATGCGCTCTGTGAGATCGAGACGGACAAGGCCGTGGTTACCCTGGAGTCCAACGATGACGGTGTCCTGGCCAAGATACTGGTGAGTGAACAGTGTGTGTGTGTGTGTCAGTTCTTTGGGCTTCCCTCTTCTCCTTAATTGGCAGAACATCACTGATGAGGTGTGCATCGTGACCTCTGTCTGTGAGTCTCTCTCTCTGTCTCTCTCTGTGTGTGTGTATGAATATTAATGACTCTGCCCAAAGACAGACAGCTCACTTGTCTTTCATCAACGATGCGCCACATGTTTGTCCCTCAGAACGGAGGGATGAAAGCAGTTTATCCTCCGCTGTCAGATCGATCTGGCAATGGGAAAAAGCCTCCAATTACATCCTAACGAGAGAGAGAGAGAGGATATTGATGGTAACTCTGTGTGGTACTGCTTTACCTGTAAAACACACCCTCCTTTCCTCCATCCTTAATTATCAGAGGTAAATGATCCAGCAGTCATAATGACATACACAATATGTACAAAAGTATGTGGATACCCCTTCAAATTAGTGGATTCGGCTATTTCAGCCACACCCGTTGCTGGCAGGTGTAGAAAATTGAGCACACAGCCATGCAATCTCCATAGACAAACATTGGCAGTAGAATGGCCTTACTGAAGAGCTCAGTGACTTTCAATGTGGCACCGTCTTAAGATGCCACCTTTCCAACAAGTCAGTTCGTCAAATTTCTGCCCTGCCAGAGCCGCCCCGGTCAACTGTAAGTGCTGTTATTGTGAATTGGAAACGTCTAGGAGCAACAACGGCACAGCCGCGAAGTGGTAGCCTAGGCATTACAAGCTCACAGAACGGGACCGCTGAAGCGCATAGCGCGTAAAAAGTCTGTCCTTGGTTGCAACACTCACTAACGAGTTCCAAACTGCCTCTGGAAGCAACGTCAGCACAAGAACTGTTCGTCGGGAGCTTCATGAAATGGGTTTCCATGGCCAAGCAGCCGCACACAAGCCTAAGATCACCATGCACAATAACAAGCGTTGGCTGGAGTGGTGTAAAGCTCGCCGCCACAGGACTCTGGAGCAGTGGAAACGCGTTCTCTGGAGTGATGAATCATGCTTCACCATCTGGCAGTCCGACGGACGAATCTGGGTTTGGCGGATGCCAGGAGAACGCTACCTGCCCAAATGCGTAGTGCCAACTGTGAAGTTTGGTGGAGGAGGAATAATGGTCTGGGGCAGTTTTTCATGGTTTCGGCTAGGCCCCTTAGTTCCAGTGAAGGGAAATGTTAACGCTACAGCATACAATGACATTCTAGACGATTCTGTGCTTCCAACTTTGTGGCAACAGTTTGGGGAAGGCCCTTTCCTGTTTCAGCATGACAATGCCCCCGTGCACAAAGCGAGGTCCATACAGAAATGATTTGTCGATCAGTGTGGAAGAATTTGACTGGCCTGCACAGAGCCCTGACCTCAACCCCATCGAACACCTTTGGGATGAATTGGAACACTGACTGCGAGCCAGGGCTAATTGCCCGACCATGTAGTGTATTTTTATTTATTTATGTTCAACCCAGCATTCATCAACTAGCTAGGTGACACACACACACACTTGCCTGTCCCACAGCTGATGCAATTGGTCCCTTCCAGTCAGTCATCCGATCAGTGAGTGTCACATCATTCAGAACAGTGTCCTAGTGGCAATTAGCCGTGTAAACCAGGCCGCGTAGCATAGTTCAGCACAGCATGCCCATATTGTTCTAGTGCTGTGGTTCAGGTGGTGTCTGTGAGTGTACCCTAAATAAAGAGCAGATATGGAGTAATTACCTAGACAGATAGCTACATTTGCATAAACAAGAGTGTTGCTCTGGAGCAAGGGCTAAAAAAGGCATTGTATTACCTTATCCCCATGGCAGTGTACAATAATTTCTCTCTGCCTTTTTTAGCCCTTGCTCTATTCTCATCCTCTCCTTCATGTTTGCTTTCTCTTCCCCTTTCTCCATCTCTCTCCTTCCGATCCATGTCTCGGCTGCCATGGGGATAAGGTAGTTTCCATGGCAACGGCCCAGCAGTTGTGGGTATGGGCTTAGGAAGGCTAGGAGCTGGCAGAAAGAGGAAGAGAGATAAGCCCCCCAGGCTCAGCCAGCATCCAGACCAACACCCCACCCCTGAATACCCCAGTGCAGACCCAGGCCCAGTCTCTACTGGGGGTATTAGAGAGGAAGTATGCCAGTCTCTCTGGATGTGTGTCTTGGTGCTGGTTTGTATCGTGTGTGTGTGTGTGGTGTAACTAGTATGAGCAACGTGTTTCCTGGCTGTGTGGAAGGGGCAGGATGGTTTCTGCTCTCTGTAGGTCACATCACAGATTAGCCCACAGTGGTGTAGTAGTGGTGCTCTCTAAGTATGTACCCACTAGGATTCTAGTTTAGCAGCCAGTGTAACATCCGTAAACACACACAAAAGGCTGATATGGCACATGTAGAGATCCCCCACACGTTGATGTGGGGGTGCAGGGATTTTCGAGATGGATTGATACGGTGTACAGAATGTATGTCAACGTTTAACGGTCGAGGTAACTAGTGGCAAGATGGATGGATGGAAGAAGGAAAGGCTAGATGAAGATGCCTGACATGGTCCACAGTGCTTATCTTGTAATTTATCAGTCTCTGGTTCCCTCCCTCCATTCCTACATACTTTCTCATTAGGATGCTGTCATTTTAGGATAGATTAATCTTCCAGGTGGGAGTTTGTTGGCTGTGTCTCAACTCAACTGACATCTTCCCTGCACTACAACTGGCCAAAGCATGACTGTAAAAAGAATGGACAAACCATCCATCACGTGACACCATTCATTTCTATGTGAAGACTCCGTAGATCATTGAAGTCAAATTAAGCCCGTTAAGATCGCGTCTCATGGAGACATAACGTGGAGTTTGAGCTACTCGAGGAAGTGATGTCGCAAGCTAGCTCAGTGCTGCCCCCTCTCATTGAGTAATCCTGCGTTTACATGGTACGAGGTAGGCGTCAAACCGGATGTCATTGTTTTCAATGAGAGCAAGACGGTAAATGCCATTGAGGCTGGCAGTGAATGCCGTCAGCCGCCACGGTAGACAGGACTTGCCGCCAGAGTTCAAATATTTCAACTTTTGCCATCTGCTGAAGCATTGTTTTCTACCAGATGTTGATTTGCACTGTTTGTTTACTGAAATCACCATAGCAACGTATACCCGTCGTGCTGGCTTGGTTTTGCCATCACCGTCTTTCTTGCTTTCTTGTCCCGCTATGCTGACTGGTATGACGGTTTTTTCATCCCTTGTCTAAACGCAGCATAACTCAAGTTAAAGGCCTACCGGGGTACTGCATGCTGCCATTAGCAGCATCTTTAAATAATCGTTTCAAGGACATACATCTGGTGTATTAGAAGCAATTATTGGTACCATGAATGTTTTCGGAAATGTTTATTTACACGATGATTGACCACAAAGATTGACATTTTCCCATTCACTATAATGGGGGATCCTGTTTTCTGCTAATTATACCTGCAGTAGCAGTCGGCTTTAAACTTCCATGACGTCAATGAGAAGGGGCAGTCGTTCTCCCCTGGGCCAAAGAAGAGAGAAGAACCGAAAGGCCCGCACGCTGAATATGCTCCCAATTTACCACCTTTATAGATAACGTTTCCATCCAACACAGAAGTTAGTTAGTCAGTTCTTTGAAATGATACAAAATGCATAGGTTAACCTCATAAATGGGGTGTTTCGTTATATCATTTATGAACTAATTGATATATTCAGGATAGACCCCGTAGGAGCACTATACTCTCTGATCTCCCTCCTATGCTTTAATTTGTCAGATTTGAGAATGCAGCCAAATCAAAAGCCCTGGGAGACAGTGCTGCTGGGGAAAAGCCCTCCTCTGGACTCTAATTAGACTATTCTGCCCAGTAACAAGTTGCAGGATGTAGGATGCAATCATATCGCCTCAAATCCCTCTTTCTCTCTCTCCTGGCAGATCAATACACTCACACGGAGGCATGCACTCACACACACACACACACACACACCAAATCAATACAGTATATCTTTCTCCAAATAAGCCAACCTTTTCCCCACCTCTTCCTTTCTCTTCGATCTGAAGGCGAGGGACTAATTGTGAACTGTTTACAAGTCCCGGGTGTGAAGCTTATCCTTGTTGAGGGTGGGAGTCCAGGTGTGAGAGTCTTGAATTGTATCAGAGATCACAAGAGCATGGTGTGTCTAATCAATGGTTATTTTCTGAAATCCGTGTCCTCCTCATCCACCTCTTGACCTATTATTCTTCACTGAAGCTAGGCAAGTCTAATGTGTGCAGTCAGGTTGAACCTGTGCCATTTCACTGTCAACTCAGGTGGGAGGTGCTGCTCAGGTATTTGGTTAAGTGTTTGTTATGATGTGATGGAATGGTTCAGGACCGGCACTGTCCTTTTACAACCAGATGATGGCAGTGTTGAGCCCCACACTAGCAGTGTGTTACACGCTGTTCCCTCTCTCGCTTTCTCTCTCTCTAAATGTGTGCCTATGTGCTCTTGCGTCTTTGATGGAGACATCCACATAAGACAGCACGCCATCTGTGAATGTGAAAAAAAAAAAGGGACGGTGACAAGGTGTGTGTGTGTGTAAAGGCTGTGAATGACCCCCAGCAGCAGCTTCTTCGAGAGCTGTATTAAATGTCTATAAATACCTGGTTGTCTAACTGGTGTTTATAGAGCGCCTAATAGTGGGGAGGGAACATCGCTGGGCTCTCTCTCACTCACACACACACACACACACACACACACCCCAGTTACATGCATTGTGTGGCACAGTATTGTGCAAGACTGTGGTTGTATATTTTCTTGTTCATTGGTCAGTATGTGTTCCTGTATTTGCAGCCCAACAGAACATCAAGCTCTAATCTGGAGTAGGAAAAAACACCACAGTCACAGTGGAATTGAATGGGTTTGTTTTGTAGCACAATAGACTTGTATGTCTATTGGGATGGTGGTTGTCAGAGGCAGTTTATGATATACTGCAATGTTGCACTGATCCTGTAAAATTAAGATATGTGGACTATGATGGGGATATACTAATCTGTCATGCCCTTCAGACAGCTGTATGACCCAGCCAGGCTAGGGTCAGGGGTCAGCCATGGCTAAAGTTCAGTGTCATGTCACATCCAACTGTCCTGGTAATCCTCTCATTTCTCATTGTAGTGAATGTAACCAACATAGCCCTGCCATTATCTATCACCTCACACTGGGCCAGAGGTACTATGGACACACACACATACTACCTGTAGCTCCTAGCAAATGGACAGGAAGCCACATACAGTCACACAACAAACATGCCAGACAAGGCACGACCCCATGTTGGTAGTGTCATGCGTTAGGGATGTTGTGCCAGCAGCTATTTTGTAGTAAACAAAACTGTTTTTTCTCTCACTGCCAAAGCCCTATATGTAGCTGTCTCACATCCTCCCTAGCTACCTACTATCCAATAGACATTAGCCTACCTTTTTGCTTTTAGTAACCCTTTGCCTTTACTCAGTGAGACATGGTAATAAAGCCTATTTGACTGTTGTACTGAGGGGAATATCCTGGTGAATTAAAGTGAAACTGGACTAGAGGTGTGTTCCTGGCTGGCTGACTGGCCCGGTCTGCCTGGGAGCGCAGGTGGTCTTATCCTGCTGTTGTTTCTGGATAGGTGGAGTCAATGGTCTTATTGGAGTTCCTCTATTGTTTAGCAGCCACTGGGGAGGATGTGACTGGGTGAACTGCTGTGAGTTTTCCTCCAAGTCCTATGGTTCAAAACCATCTGACATTCAGCCAGTTGCAAGGGCTTGTGTTCTGATCTAATGCAGAAACCAATTACCTGATCAATTTCAGTGTCGCCATGACGCTTTCCCCGTCGCTAACAGCGGGTGTTATTTGTGTTGTCTGTTTTTTCTCTTCTTTTCTGGCGAGCGGAGCTATGCCCTTTAGCAGGAATGACAGCTCCATAAGTGGATACCATTTGGAAATAGATGGAGTGTTGTAGCCCTGCCTCATCCATTGTGCCTGGCCTCTCATTTAGAACTAATCAATATTGACCGAGGAAAAACACCTTGCTGACTATGAGGGGGTGGAGACATCCATGCTGTGCCTTATTGACGCTGTTAGAGACTGAGATGAAGAGAAAGATGGAGAGGGATTGCGAGAGAATCGATGTGCGACGGGGGGGTGAAGAAACAGTAAGTAATCCATTCCCCCTCCATTAGAGTCCTTGGCCTTGTATGTTTTGTCAGAACAGAACAGCGACTAGGGAAAATGAAGTGAATTGAGGAGGCAGTGGGGACAGACACACAGCTGTTTGAAAGGTCTGCCTATGGGTCCCTCTGGTAGCAGTAACAAATGACGTGTCGAGGTAATATCTTTTGAAAACCCTCCCTCTCCTGGTTGTTCTTGCCATTCTTCCTATCATTTGGCCTCTCCCTCTCTAGTTCCTCACTTCTTCCTTCCCCCTAATGCTCTTCTTCCTTTCTCGTTCTCATTCTTATGTGCATTCTTCCCCTCTCTCTATTTCTCCACCTCTCCTCAGTGTTCTTCGTCTGAGTCAAATACAAATGCAACCTGATAGTGATTATTATTATAAAAGGTAATGTGTCTCTGTGTGTCCTCAGATGGAGGAGGGCAGTCGTGCCGTGCGTCTGGGGACTCTCATCGCCCTCATGGTGGAGGAAGGGGAGGACTGGAAGACGGTGGAGATCCCGCCCCCCATGGCAGCCACGCCAGCTCCTCTCGCTCCTGCAGCTGCAGCCCCTCCCCCTCCGGCAGCCCCGGCTGCACCCCCACCACATCCCCCCAGAGCAGCCTCTACAGGACTGTGAGTCTCACCTCTCTCTCCTCTTCTTCCACTATTACATTCTTATTTACATCACTCCATCATGCTCTACTCTTTCATTCTTCATCAATGAATCAATATATGAATCAGTAAATCAAATGGTATTTGTGTAGTGCTTTTCACAAATACACAAACATTTGTCAAAAGAGCTTGACCACAGCCTTGGCATGACCCTCTAAAGAGCAAGTAGATGTCTCGGTGGTAAGGAAGACACCTTGAGAAGAACTAGACTAGAGCTGAAGCCCATCCTCTTTTTCCTGGCCAGATAAACGTTCAGAATAAATGTAACAACTCCACCATCACACAACGCGCTGAGTAAGACTGCTGTCCCTTTCCACATCCATGTTAAAACGCAAGAGATCCTCTCCTGCCTTATTGACACACATAGGACAGGAGCTGGTACTAAACTTCAAATCAGGGCCTATTTGATTTGCAAACATTTTGCTGAGTTTGTGTGTGTGTGTGTGTTTCCACTGTCCACTTGTGTTCCCATTTTTCCCCAAAGCTTGCTCAAATGAAGCAAGGTTACCTGTGTTTGTGAAAGAACAGGCGTCCTGTTAGGTTGATGTTAGGCAGGAGTGAGACTGGAAATGGACTCTAAAAGGCACTTGACGTTTTTGTTAATTTGTGCAGTACCACTGTCATTATCTTCAGTCTACATTGAGAAGGCATGAGAGCAGTCTCATGTCAAGGGTTTTAGGATTTAAGTGGGTGTTATGGCCCAAATGCAGAGACATTAAATCTGTCCTTTAGAACAGTTGAATTGCTCCTCTATTAAAATGTCACAGAGGGAAGCATTTACGCTCCTAGCTGTTTTTCTGTTAGCCTTTTTAGGTGAAAGGGAATCTAATCAAATCAAATAATATACGTCACATGCTTCGTAAACAACACGTGTAAACTAACAGTGAAATGCTTACGGTAGTGAATGGTAGTGCAAGTGCATGTTCTGAACTGTCTAGAATGTACATAAACCGAGTGCATTGACAGGTGAATTGTCTGTAGCCTATATGGTCTACATAAGCCGAAAATATTTGTTTACATTTATGTTTACTCTTTATGTTCTCTGACCAATCAGGACATGATTACGGTCAGATTAACTTTGTGTGCGTGTCTGTGTGTCTCTCTGTCCCTGTCTGTGTGTCCTGTCCTTTCCTCTCCCCCCAGGTTGCGGCTGAGCCCGGCAGCCAGACACATCCTGGACACACACGGTCTGGACCCCCAGCTGGCCACCCCCACGGGACACAGGGGCATCATCACCAAGGAGTGAGTTCACATACGAGATGTGTTCGGCGTGGTGGAATGTTGCAGATAGAAATGTAATGAATAGGGCAGACATGATTCCCCTATTCTAATCTAGCTACATACAATCATATGTTTTGTGACTACAGAGTAGGGGTACTGGGTGGTGTATGTGTGTTATACACTACTGAGCAAGGTAAAAATAAAATAAAAAATTCTCTCTGAGGAAGAAATAACAAACTAACTGACAAAAAAAAGTGCGAGAGAAGATGTTGTGAATGAAAGGGGAGAGTACGATATTGAGTGAGTGAAGTGACAGAAATTGATTGAGTGAAAAAGTGAGCAGTTGCCAGGTGCTTTTTAACCCTGTTATGTGGGTGTGCTCACACCAGAGGAAGCTGTGGAACTGTGCGCACAAACAACACAACTTTAATGGCCACCTGCTGTCACGTGGTGTCTGATGGAACGTTCTAGTTACCCAACTTGCACCCTGCTGGGGAATCTCATTAAGACACAGCTGTCTCCATGGCAACCCAGTCTCCAGGGCCTACTGGTGGCCATAGAAACACAGCCCATATGTTTTGGGAGACGTATGTGCGTGTCTGTATGTTCCCGTGTGTCTGTTCGTTAGTCGCACGTGTGTGTTTGTTAAAGAGCTAGTGTAACGGGATATGAGGAACCACACCCGACACAGGAAGATCACCTAAAGGCTTTCCCACACTGTACGTCAGATTCAGTCTTTTACGGTTATTACATGTCATACTCTGCGGTTTTTACCAAATTAAAATCTTGATTTCAACCTGGCCAGATTGTACAATTTGCTTGAGTTTTGTCATCACATTCTGCAATTGCCTTGCGAGGCTACGTCAGCCGATGTAGGGTATGTCAACTGCAGCTTTGTATTTGATTTGCGCAAGTTCCAGCAGCGCAAGCCTCCCTCTATGCTTATGCGCGAGTGAAGGGAGTTCGTAAAAAATTAAAGTATGTATCTTAGAAATAGTTTTCACATACTTTTAGTCATGTAGTGTACAAAGTTTATGTGGACACCTGCTCATCGAACATCTCACTCCAAAATCATGGGCATTAATATGGAGTTGGTCCCCCCTTTGCTGCTATAACAGCCTCAACTCTTCTGGGAAGGCTTTCCACTAGATGTTGGAACATTGCTGCGGGGACTTCCATTCAGCCACGAGCATTACTTAGGTCGGGTACTGATGTTGGGCGATTAGGCCTGGCTCGCAGCCGGCGTTCCAATTCATCCCAAAGGTGTTCGATGGAATTGCGGTCAGGGTTCTGTCAAATTCTTCCACCGATCTCGACAAACCATTTCTGTATGGACCTCGCTTTGTGCATGGGGGCATTGTCATTCTGAAACACGAAAGGGCCTTCCCCAAACTGTTGCCAAAAAGTTGGAAGCACAGAATCGTCTAGAATGTCATTGTATGCTGTAGCGTTAGATTCCCCTTCACTGGAACTAAGGGGCCTAGCCCGAACCATGAAAAAGAGCACCAGAACATTATTCCTCCTCCACCAAACTTTACAGTTCGCACTATGCATTCGGGCAGGCAGTGTTCTCCTGTCATCCGCCAAACCAAGATTCGTCTGTCGGACTGCCAGATGGTGAAGCGTGATTCATCACTCCAGAGAATGTGTTTCCACTGTCCAATGGTGGCGAGTTTTACACTTAGGCTTGTGTGCAGCTGCTCGGAAATGGGAACCCATTTCAAATCAAATCAAATTTTATTGGTCACATGCGCCGAATACAACAGGTGCAGACATTACAGTGAAATGCTTACTTACAGCCCTTAACCAACAGTGCATTTATTTTTAATAAAAAGTAGAATAAAACAACAAAAAAGTGTTGAGAAAAAAAGAGCAGAAGTAAAATTAAATAAAAAAAAACAGTAGGGAGGCTATATATACACAGAGGGGGTACCGGTGCAGAGTCAATGTCCGGGGGCGCACCGGCTAGTTGAGGTAGTTGAAGTAATATGTACATGTGGGTAGAGTTAAAGTGACTGCATAAATACTTAACAGATTAGCAGCAGCGTAAAAAGATGGGGTTGGGGGGGCAGTGCAAATAGTCCGGGTAGCCATGATGAGCTGTTCAGGAGTCTTATGGCTTGGGGGTAGAAGCTGTTGAGAAGTCTTTTGGACCTAGACTTGGCACTCCGGTACCGCTTGCCATGCGGTAGCAGAGAGAACAGTCTATGACTAGGGTGGCTGGAGTCTTTGACAATTTTGAGGGCCTTCCTCTGACACCGCCTGGTATAGAGGTCCTGGATGGCAGGAAGCTTGGCCCCAGTGATGTACTGGGCCGTACACACTACCCTCTGTAGTGCCTTGCGGTCGGAGGCCAAGCAGTTGCCATACCAGGCGGTGATGCAACCAGTCAGGATGCTCTCGATGGTGCAGCTGTAGAATTTTTTGAGGATCTGAGGACCCATGCCAAATCTTTTCAGTCTCCTGAGGGGGAATAGGCTTTGTCGTGCCCTCTTCACGACTGTCTTGGTCTGTTTGGACCATGGTAGTTCGTTGGTGATGTGGACACCAAGGAACTTGAAGCTCTCAACCTGTTCCACTACAGCCCCGTCGATGAGAATGGGGGTGTGCTCAGTCCTCTTTTTTGTCCTGTAGTCCACAATCATCTCCTTTGTCTTGGTCACGTTGAGGGAGAGGTTGTTATCCTGGCACCACACGGCCAATTTCATGAAGCTCCTGACGAACAGTTCTTGTGCTGACATTGCTTCCAGAGGCAGTTTGGACCTCGGTAGTGAGTGTTGCAACAGAGGACAGATGATTTTTACGTGCTAAGCGCTTCAGCACACGGCGGTCCCGTTCTGTGAGCTTGTGTGGCCTTTCACTTCGCGGCTGAGCCGTTGTTGCTCCTAGACGTTTCCACTTCACAATAACCGCACTTACAGTTGACCGAGGAAGCTCTAGCAGGGCAGAAATTTGACGAACTGACTTGTTGGAAAGGTGGCATCCTATGACTGTGCCACGTTGAAAGTCACTGAGCTCTTCAGTAAGGCCATTCTACTGCCAGTGTTTGTCTTTGAGATTGCATGGCTATGTGCTCGATTTTATACACACTGTCAGCCACGGGTGTGGCTGAAATAGCCAAATCCACTAATTTGAAGGGGTGTCCACATACCTTTTGTGTGTATGTATGTATGTGTGTGTGTATATATATATATATATATATATATAGTGTGTATGTCTGAACTCCGAATCAAATAGATTTCTCAAAAATAACATTGTCGTTGTGGTAAAACAATGCACAGAAAGTAGTAGACGATTTTATGCATTTATCAAAATCCCATCAGGTAGCCTGATTTTCAGATGTCATGTAAACAATATTATTGGGGAAAACCGTTATTCTTGCAAAGCATGAAAATGTTTAAATTGAACTATTATATTAATCTGACTATTCACAATAATCATTTTACCCTATTGTGTGCATACTCAGTTCCGGCTGTGTTCCTATTGTTCAGTCATTGGGATCGGCTCGTAACACCAGCCACAATACACAAAGGCTCCAGATTTCTGACACTGCCAGAACTTTGTTGGAGCCTACGAGCGCACGTAGTGGTACTTAATCGTCATACCTAGACCTGAACGAGCCAAGACGTCAGGCAATCGTTTACGACCTGAAGATTTTCCCATGGCCATGACGTGGAAATTTTGTCTGGGATTACAAAATTGTGGCATAAGACGGCTAAAATTGTATTATGTGCTGGACTTAAGGTAGACATTGCAGGAAAGTATGTACTCTTCTTTAGTGAGGGTAGATAACCAGCAATGTTTCCCCTATATGAATTTAACAGCGGCGCACTCAGATAGCATAAGAACAAGGCTTAGGCCATGGCAAATTGTGTAGAATTGCATGAAACTAGCTTTAAAACAAACATTTTCTCTCTCTGGCCCGGGACAAAATGAGTAGAATTGTGGAAAATGTGCTTTAAAACAGCAACATTTTGTCTCTGCGGCCAAGAGGAGTGGCCTCTGTTGTGTTGGCCCACTATAGAACATCACAGAACAACACATGGCCCATTGATGAGATCATAGTGGTTACGTAAATCCACAGGAAGGGTTAATTTAGGAGTGGAAGGGGGAGAGGAGATGTTAGGTTTATGTATCAGTGGTTATTCAGTGCTTGCTTTACCATACCACTATCCCTAATACATATCCAATGGAGCAGGGAAGTAATTAAAAACAAACAAGAGGCCACAATTGTTATGATACATGTTTTTGTAGCATGGACATGTGTAGTAGTAGTGGTGGTGGTATATTATTGGGTATTCACCTTCTATTATGTCACTTTACGTAATAGGTTATGTCAGGGTATGATCTTGTATAAGCTTTAGGGTTGCAAAGCTACCAGTAATTTTAAAAAAGTTACAGGAATATTCACTAATTTTTACATTTTTTGTCATTTAGCAGAGCTTTTCCAGAGCGACTTACAGTTAGTGAGTGCATACATTTTCATACTGACCCCCCGTGGGAAACCTGGCGTTGCAAGCGCCATGCTCTACCAACTGAGCTACAGGGGACTACATATCCACAGCAGGTCTCCAAGGTGAACAGCCTCTGGCATGTTAGAACAAGGTAGGTAAGGGAAGTCATATCCGTAACTTCGGGATAAGGATTGGCTCTAAGGGCTGGGTCGGTCGGGCGGGGCTGGGCTCGAGCCCAGAATCAGTGGAAAAGAGCAAATTAAAGAAAGGAAAAGATGGGAACACGTACACAAAAAAATTGCCTCCCACACGGATAAGGCTATTCGGCTAACAAGGGCTGTAAACCCAGCAACGGGCCCAATAACGGAAAGGAACCACACTTGAGAGCAGATTAAAAGGCAAAACAGCAAACACACCTATAAAGGAGAACACATAGACGCAGTATAGGCACTAAGGGAAAGAACAGCAATAACAGGCAAAAGAGAGTAAAGAATAGACAGCACGGGGCCACAGAAGAAGAGCGAGACAAGGAGGGAAAACGCGAGCGTACCACCATATTGCCTGGGATGTG